ACACTAGGATTGGATCACAACCCTAGTAAAAATCTTGCTACTCATGCTTGAAATTAAAGAAATAGAATAAGAAATGCTAATTAAACTCATATTGTTAAATCAAAATGATAAAATCTGTGTTTAAATATCCCAAAATATGAAAAACTACTAAAAGGAGTAAAGTGAAATGGCTATTATAGCTGCTGATGTCAAAAGTTGACCTAAAAATATGAAACTCGTCTATTTATACAGGGCTGGAAATTTCGAACAAAAATGCCCTTTCGGAGGTTCTGCGGCCGCACAATTCCATGTGCGGTCTGCACTTTTCTTCAGCTTGACAGGATTGGAACTTTGAGGCCGTATAATTCTTGACTGTGGCTGCACTGCACTCTTTCCGTGGTCCGCAGATTTGTAACTGCGGCCGCACCTTGCTCTTCTGCGGTCCGAACAATTGTAACTGCGGCCGCATAGCTCTTCTTCTGCGGCTGCACAATAATTGTACGGTCCGCACTTTTGATGGTCTTGAAATGTAGATTCTCTGAACTTTGCTCCTGGCCTAGCTTTTGTAGCCGCACAATTCATGTGCGTAACGCACTTTCGATCTTTTGTGCCTTTTGTGTCCTTGAGTTCAGATTACTCCTTCTTAAGTTGGATTTCATCTCGGGAGTTCACTTTCCAATATTCCTGCAATTAAGCATATTTCATTAGTTTTTGGGAACATGATTTAATGCTTTTAGACTAAAACAAAAGCTAAAAGGCGCTAATAAGTAGTCAAAATTCCCACTTATCATGTCCATCCGGAGCTTAGCCATATCAGTACCTGTTTCTTTGGTGACTTCCCTGATCTTGTCCACCTGTTCTTTCATTGAAATGAGCATGATTTGTACCCCATCTAGACTTTGCTGAATCTGCTGTAGGTTGTTGATAGCAGTCGACTGAGGCTATGTTGGTTCAGTGGGTGCTTCAACCTGTACTAGAGCGCTTTCAACCTTGGCATGTCTGACCCATCCATAGTCACTTAAGGTGTAACCCATCATAGTAAAGGTTGTCTTATCATAGGTGCTTGTAATGTGCTTAGGTTAGAAAGGTGCCAAATCAACCTTCATGACCTCGAGAATATGTGAGATGAGCAAGCCATAGGGTAAACAAGCAGTAGAGGAAGATATATCCCTGATACTTTCAAGAATATACTGACGAATCCACATAAACCAGTCATGCCTTTTATTGTTCACAAGACAGTAAAGAACAAAGATATCTCTAGTAGTCAAAGTGCTGAGAGACCAGTCCTAGGAAGTAGAGTAGTAGGCGATCATGTGGGCTAATACGCGATGTTCAAACTTGAGACTTTTAGGACCAATGTCAGGATGGTTTTCAGACAGAAAAGCTTTTGCCTCTTCTAAAGAAACTTCAAAGTCTTTAGGCTAGGAGTTTTGCACAAAAACATCATAACTATGAAACTTGGCAGAAAAGATCTTTTCAAATTGATAGGAATCAAGAACAATCCGAGTGCCTAAAACCATTGACTCCAAGTCATCTTTTTCATTAACAAACAGATTTGCATAAAACATCCTCACATGTTCTTCATACACAGAATTTCCAATAGTATCAAATAGAGGAGAAAGACGTTAAAAATAAAGATAGAAATCACATCACAGTGCAAATGTTTCATAAGAGAGAGACTTACAGAGCGTCCATAAGCCATAGATTTAGACTTATAAGACTCAAACCTTGATTTCTCACTTGGTCCATAGAAGTTCAGTTTATCCTCTGGCCCAAAATCTGTGCTTTCCACTTTTCCTTTCTTACATGCAGGCCTTTTGGGGGTTTTCTCCATAGGTCTTTTTCGTGCCTTTTTCTAGATAATAGGAAGATCATCCGATGAGTCACTGTTTACATTATTGATTTTAAGGAAGTCCGAATCTAGGGATGATTCAATGTCGCCGGTTTCTTCAAGATTTTGGATTTTTTGAAATTGTCTGCTTCGTCTTGTGGCAGTGGAGCATGAGAGATTTTTCTTCGCCATGGTAGAAAAATTGGTGAGAAGTGATGGAGAATGAGAGGGGGGGGGGGGGGTACTAATCTAGGCTTTTGGAAGACTGAAGGGTTGCATCGGTTAAAGGAAAGGACAGGTTCAGATTGAAGTGACACTTATGAGGAGTTGCTTCGGCGGCACCAATGAAAATGTAATAATATTACTCACATCAAATTAATACACTCATCAATTAAGCAAACTAAAAAAAGAAGTAAAATATTATACAATGATACGGAAGATTTTTTACATAATAGACATAATACCAATCTTTTTACGCAGTAGACAAAATCTTTCTTCCAAAAGAGGTTTTGTAAAAATATCAGCAACATGATCACTAAGAAAATGATGCTTAATTTCTATATGTTTTTCCCTAGAATGATGCACATAATTTTTTGACAGACATATAGCACTTGTATTATCACAGAAAATAGGAGTAGAGGTAAGAGATAAATAATAATCGAGAAGTTGATGCATGATCCAAAGAACTTGTATACAGCATCTTCCAACAACTAAATATTCTACTTCAGTAGTTGACAAGGCAACATAATTTTGTTTTTGCTATGCCAGGAAATTAGAGCATTCCCCAACAATTGGCATGTGCCACTAGTACTTTTCTTGTCAATCATGTCACCTGCAAAATCTGCATCTGAAAAACCTTTTAAATCAAAATTGTTAGAATGAGCATACCATAATCCTAATTCAGTGGTCCCAATGAGATATCTAATAATGCGTTTAACTGCAGTTAGATAAGATTTCATTGGAGCCGACTGAAATCTTGCACACTTACATACACTGAATATTATATCTGGTCGACTAGCCGTGAGATATAGTAGAGATCCAATCATTCCTCTATACATTGTTTCATCCACACTTTTTCCATTCTTGTCTTCTTCAAGCATAGTTTTTGGACTCATTGGAGTTCCAATAGGCTTTGCATTCTCCATACCAAACTTCTTTATGAGTTCCTTGCTGTACTTGGTTTGACTAATAAAAATCCCTTTGGGAGATTGCTTGATTTGCAATCCAAGAAAGAAAGTTAGCTCTCCCATAATGCTCATTTTAAATTCTCCTTTCATGATATGATCAAATTCTTCACATAATGCAGAGTTAGGGCTCCCAAAAACAATATCGTCTCCATAAATTTGAGTAATAAGATTACCTGAATTTGAGCGCTTAATAAACAAAGTTGTATCGATATTACCTCATTAGAAATCATGATTTAGGAGAAAAGAGCTTAGTCTTTCATACCAGGCTCGAGGGGCTTGGTTAAATCCGTATAAAGCTTTAGACAACTTGAATACATGGTTTGGGAAGCTGTTGCTTACAAATCCAGGAGGTTGTTTCACGTATACTTCTTCAGAGATATATCCATTTAGGAAGGCTCTTTTTACATCCATTTGAAATAGCCTAAATCCTTTATGAGCAGCAAAAGCAAGTAGTATTCGAATGGATTCTAATCTTACTACAAGTGCAAATGTTTCGTCGTAGTCGATTCCCTCTTGCTGAGAGTAACCTTGAGCAACTAGCCTTGCTTTGTTACAAACTACTTGACCAGATTCATTCAGCTTATTTCTGAAAACCCATTTAGTTCCTATAATGGAAGCATTTGATGGTTTTGGAACCAAGTCCCACACTTTATTTTTTTCAAATTGATCAAGTTCATCTTTAATGGCTTTGACCCAATAGTCATCTTTAAGGGCTTCATCAACCTTTTTTGGCTCAAGTTGTGATATTAGGGCCATGTGGGAGTTGAGCTTCTGAGATCTTCTGGTAGTGATACATTCTTGTGGATTTCCAATGATGAACTTGTGGGGATATCTAGGTTCACTTTTCCATTCATTTGGAACACCTGTGACGGCTCCTTTTCCACAGTGGTTGATTGTTCAGTAGTAGATGGTTCCTAAATTTCAATGTGCTCCGCAGTTGACTGATTTTGCTGATTGGTCGACTGATCGTGACTGTCTTTTCCTGTAACAATAGACTTTGGGACAATAAAGATTTCCTCATCTTCAGAAAGTTTTTCATTTCTTAAGCGAGGGTTAGTATCCACAAAAATAACATGAATGGTTTCCTCAATACATAAAGTTCTTTTATTGAATACTCTATATGCTTTACTTGAGGGAGAATATCCAAGAAAAATACCTTCGTCGCTTTTTGGATCAAACTTACCCAAATTGTCTTTTCCATTATTGTGAATGAAGCATTTGCATCCAAATGGGTGGAAGTAACTGATGTTGGGTTTCTTACCATTCCATAGCTCATATGGAGTCTTTTTAAGAATGGGTCGAATCAGACATCTGTTAATAATATGACATGTTGTTCTTACAGTTTCTGCCCAGAAGTGGCGAGGGAGAGAGTTTTCCACAATCATGGTTCTTGCCATGTCCTGCAAAGTTATGTTCTTACATTCTACCACTCCATTCTGTTGAGGTGATCTTGGCGAAGAGAAGTTGTGAGAGATTCCTTGATCATTACATGAGTTTTCAAAGGCTCTGCTTTCTAACTCTCCTCCATGGTCACTTCTGATAGTAGAAATGTAATATCCCTTTTCATGATGTTCCTTCTTACAGAAGACTTCAAAATTCCTTAGGGCTTCATCTTTATGGCTTAGAAAAATAACCCAAGTGAAACGAGAAAAATCATCTACGATAACAAAAGTATATTTTCTACCACCAATACTAGCAGTTCTAGTTGGACCAAACAAATCCATATGCAAGAGTTGAATAAGCTTAGTAGTAGAAATAATGTTTTTGATTTTAAAAGATGAACGAGTTTGTTTTCCTAATTGACATGCATCACAAATATGATCTTTTGAAAAATCTAGTTTTGGAAGACCAATGACAAGATCACGTTTGGAAAGTTTTTGAATAGTATGCATGCTAGCATGGCCAAGCTATCTATGTCATGCCCAGGGATCATCAGTCATAGAAGCTAGACAAATTTGATTACCAAGGCTATCTATGTTACTGATAGTATAGACATTCATGTCTCAATTTCCACAAAGAATAACTTTACCTGATTCGTCTTCAATAAACCAATCATGTTTTTTAAAACGAAACTCATAGTCATTGTCATATAGTTGATTGATACTGAGAAGGTTGTAACCAAGTTCATCAACCAGGTATACTTCGTCTACATCGCATGTTGAGCCGAGAGGGACTCTTCCAACTCCAATTACATTACCTTTTGATTTGTCTCCAAAAGTAACAATTCCTCCATCTAGTTTGATGACCGTCTTGAATAGTTGTTTATCACCAGTCATATGTCTGGAACACGCGCTATCAAGATACCATTTCCATTTTCTATTCTTCTTGCACTGTTCCTACAAAATGAATTACTTGTTTTTAGGTACCCAAGCCTGCTTGGTCCTAAATGGTTAGTGTTCTGAGTATTAGCTTGACTAGAGGTCTTGGGTCACCAGACCCATCTCCTGTTGTTCTTAAATCTGCAATGGTTAGAGGTATGATCGAGTATTCCGCAGTAGAAATATGAGGGGTTATTAGAATATTCAGAGGCTTTTTCTCCTCTGATACTAAACTTGTAATGGTTAGAGTTGTGCCCATTTTTGCTACAATGAGTACATGAAGAAGGATTTCTAGTTCTAGTTGGAGATTTATGAAGAGCAAACTGATTTGATCTAACTGAACTATGACTAGTGGATTTTCGTAATCCATTCAGTTGAAGTTGAAGTTCATAAACTTTATCTTGAAGCATATCTCTATCAATTTCACATACTTCCAACTTCAAAGCCCAATCTTTCTTTTCTCTTTGGATTTTTCGAAGTTCATTCAGAACTTTCTCAATATCTGCAAAAGCAATGTCAATAAATTCTTGGAGTTCCTGACAGATAGGACATGTAGGAAGACGTACCTCACTTGTTCCTTTGTTTGCCATGAGACCAAGTTCACCTGAGCATTCACTGCTCTCTTCGTTGATGGTCATGAAGCACATGTTGGCGATTTCTTCGTGATCAAATTCTTCTTCATCACTCCAAGCTCCAAAGGATTTCTTCTTTTGAAAATTCCTGCTAAGTTTCTTTTTCAGTTCAGGGCATTCATCTTAGATGTGTCCATATTTTCCACTCGTAGCATCTTCCATCATTTTTGTCATTATCATCGTTCATATTCCCTTTTCTGAAGTTTGATTTACCTCTTCGGCTGTTTCTGTTCTTCTTCATCATGCTTGTTACAACTTTGGAAAGCATAGCTATGTTCTCATCTTGTTCTCCTCCTCCTTCTTCTTCTTCATTTTCTGATTCAGTCACGGTTGCTTAGAATGCGACTGTTTTCTTCTTTTCTTGTTGAACTTGCCTATCTAAGTGTGTTTTATCAAATGCAATTAGATCATCTCTAAGTTCATTATAGGACATTTTGTCAAGATATTGACATTCCAAAGCAATGACTTTGGGTTGCCAAATCGTGGGAAGACTTCTCATGAATTTTCTGACATGTTCTCCACTTTTGATTGGTCTACCAAATAATTTTAAGTCTCCAAGTATTTTTCTGAACCTGGAAAACATTTCCTCTACTGATTCTCTATCCTTCATTTGAAATAAGTCATAGTCTCGAACTAGGAGATTGATCCTTGTTTCTTTCACTTTATTGGTTCCTTCATCTATGACCTCTAACATATCCCATATTTCCTTCGCAGTTTCACAGCTTGATATATTTTCATATTCTTCTCCACTGATAGCATTGTACAACATATTTTTTACCTTAGCATTCACTTGTATGACAACTGATTGTTTTTCAGTGTAATCTTCTAAATCAAGAGGATCAGATGATACTATGACTTGACCATTGTCATCCTTCTTTGGCGGAATTGGAAGATTTTTCTTTTTGATAATGCGCCAAACTTCAATGTCATATGACATAGTATAGGTCTCCATGCACACTTTCCAATGAGAAAAGTGCTGACCATTGAAGTACGGGGGTCATAACTGAGAATTTCCTTCTTGGAATAGCGCTCCAACGACTGCATTAGATCCCATGATCTTTTCCTCACTTCCTGTTAAGCAAAGTTTGTGACCCCTGCTCTGATACCAATTGAAAGTACAAGAGGGTGGGTGAATTGTAACTAATTTAAAAGACTTAGTCGACTTAGAAGAGATTTAGTCGACTTCTCTTTATCAGCAGGTTTGATTGACGATGAAAAGTAAATTGCAAGAAATTTAAAGACTGAGAACACAAGAGTTTTATACTGGTTCAGTACCAGTGTGGTACCTATATCCAGTTCCCTTAGGTCACAAGGGTTCTCTTAGATCTTCAATAGTTGGTTACAGTAGCCTTGGTTTTATGGATCGTTCACCACTAGCGATTTTCAGCGACAATGTTTTATAAGCTTGGCACAACTCTTGTTTTGCTTCCTAACACTTCCTATCTTTTGAGACACTAGTAAACTTAGGAATATAGTGTTTGTGCTAAGAACTAGGAAGACATAGAAAATAGTGATAAGTTGCGTAGTTATATTCTTGAGTCAGCCAATCTTCTTATAGGAGAGTTTTGAGTAGCCGTTGTTGATTGACCGTTGATTAAGGCACAAAATAATCTAAGAGATTTGACCCAAGGGGTGCCTCCGAATCCTGTACAAGAGATGTGCTGGATTCATTTACGTCCTTTCTTTTCGTATCCATAATCAAGGGAGTGATATGTGGCTTGACTTGGTCGATCAATCTTCAGGATCTCCAGATTCCGAATCAATCCTTGAAGTAGGGCGTGACTTCATTTAGCGGCTGCACTCGATCTTGTTTCCTTTTTGATGGCCTTGACGTCCTTTGATTTAGCATTGTTCATGCGACATTTGATCTTGTTTCCTTTCTGATATCTTTAACAGAAGGACTTCCTTTGAATTAGTACCGCTCTCCTAATTTCTAGCAATTAAATAGACACAGTTAGATTCACACTATTGTTATCATTGAAATATAGGTGTAACAGTTGGTACTATTATATGTATGCTCGGTGATAAAGAGATAAATGCACGAAGGGTGTGCCGTTCCAATTGATTTGATACATATATATATTGGGTGAGAATGAGATAAGTGCACTAAGGTATTACCGTGGCATTTGATTTGATATCTTGAATATATTCCTCACACCAGGAAAGTTATGAATTTAATTAGATAAATGCACTAAGGTGTTATCGTTCCATTCGATGTGATATCTTGAATATATTTCTCACACCAGGAAAATTATGAATTTACTACTGTGACTTCTCATAGTAATCATTTCCTGCTTCGCATAGCTATTTTATTGTACCCTTATCTGTTATGCTCTATAACTGTTTCTATTACTAGTCTGTTGTACAGGTTATAACGGTGAGTATCTTTAAACTAAAAATCCTCGTCACTACTTCGACGAGGTTAGACATTATACTTATTGGGTACATGGGATCGGTTGTACTCATAATACACTTCTACACCTTGCATGCAGATTTTGGAGCAGGAGTCGTTGTACGTGGCGGAGCTGACATTGAAGATATACCTGTGTTCTAGTTATAGCTGCCACTTGTATTTCAACAGATGATGTATTTTATTTCTTACCAATTTTGAAATAAAAAATCTAAATTTTATATGCTCATGATTTGTACTAGTCCTTGGGAAAAATAGAAATATTCAGTTATTTTATCATTTATTTCCTCGATAAATCTATACTTGAGTTGAAGATCGTTTTTGAGACTTGTTGAAATACTTGAATAATGAAGTACTTGAGGTTCATTGAATTGTGATTGGCTTGAAAGCCGCGATTGATGTTTAATTTGGAACATTCATTTAAACACTCTCTTTGATATTATCTATACTTCCTACCTTGTTTGTTAATGATATACATCTGCTTGGTAAGGAAGAGTGTAAAGCACGAAGCGTGATGCCGTGACATTTCATATACTTTATCATGTGAGGGAGAGTGTAAAGCATGAAGGGTGATGTCGTTCCATTTCCGTTATATTATCATGTGAGGAAAAATATAAAGCACGAAGGGTGATGCCGTGCCATTCATATACATTATTATGCACAAAGGATAATACCGTGCCATTTCATTTACATTATCATGTGAGGATGAGAGGAAAAGCACGAAGGGTGATGCCGTGCCATTCATATACATTATTATGCACAAAGGATAATACCGTGCCATTTCATTTACATTATCATGTGAGGATGAGAGGAAAAGCACGAAGGGTGATGCCGTGCCGTTATTTTTATATTATCATATGTTCATGGCACGAAGGGTGTTTTCGTGCAGGCGAGGACGAGAGACATACATTATATTGTGATATCTTTTCGTTGTGTATACATTCATGCCTTTATCTTGAGCTGTTATTGTGCACCTATGTTTTCTATGTGACTTGTAGTCGTTGTTCTGTCGGTGTCCTCTACCCCAAGTGTTGTTCTGTTATCCATGCCTTCTATCTGTTTAACTTGCAAATATTATGGTTTTCTTCTTGTTTGTTATATTTGCATCTAAGTCTTCTACCATGCTAATTAGTGAAATTTATATTCTTCTTTCCTAATTGCTGTCATAATTTTTATGCCTTTTTCCCAGTCTGTTTCCGTTGTCCATATGTACTGTGCTTTGTTCGTTGTTGCTTCCTGTGTGCCTCCCACTTTATTTTATTTTTATATTTTTATTGGTATTTCTCCCACCTAGTTGGTACTGTTATATGTATGCTCGGTGACAAAGAGATAAATGCACGAAGGGGGTTGTTGTGCCAATTGATTTGATCTACGTATATATATTGGGTGAGAATGAGATAAGTTCACTAAAGTATTACCATGCCATTCGATTTCATATCTTGAATATATTCCTCACACGAGAAAAGTTATGAATTTAATTAGATAAATCCATGAAGGTGTTACCGTGTCATTCGATGTGATATCTTGAATATATTTCTCAAAAAATTATGAATTTACTACTGTGAATTCTCCTAGTAATCATTTACTGCCTCGCATACCTGTTTTATTGTACCCTTATCTGTTATGCTCTATAATTGTTTCTATTACTAGTTTGTTGTACATGTTATAACAGTGAGTATCTTTAAACTAAAAATCCTCGTCACTACTTCGACGTTGTTAGATAATATACTTACTGGGTACATGAGGTCGGTTGTACTCATATTATACTTATGCACCTTGCGTGCAGATTTTGGAGCTGGAGTCGTTGTACGTGGCGGGAGCTGACATTGAAGATGTACCTACATTTTGGTTATAGCTGCCACTCTTTTTTTGATAGCTTTAGAATCTTTAATCTGTTCTCGTGTATTTCAACAGATGATGTATTTTATTTCTTACCATTTTTGAAAAAACAAATTCTAAATCTTAGATGCTCATGATTTGTACTAACAGTCCTTGGGGAAAGTAGAAAGGTTCAGTTATTTTATCATTTACTTTTCTTGATAAATCTAATTAAAGTGGATTGTTGTTAAATGGCTTACCTAACGGGTTGGGTTAGGTGCCATCACGACTGGTCGGATTTTGGGTCGTGACAGATTGGTATCAGAGCTCTAAGTTCATAGGTTATATGAGTCATGAGCAAGTGTCTAGTAGAGTCTTGAAGATCGGTATGATGACGTCCATATTGTCATCATACTTATCTTGGAGAGGCTACAGGGCATTTAGAATAAACATCCCATCTTTCTTTTCTTATCGTGCGGCATTGATTCATCTTAAAGCGTATATATTTGAATTTCTTCCACTCACTTGTATGTGTATATGAACGCTCAGTATCAGCTGTGCATCGCCGACTTGAGATTCTAAGAACTAAGTATGAGATGTGTTTTCTCTATTTTCATGATGGGCCAGTCTGGAGGACTTGAGGCCAGGTTTGGACCACAGCTTAAGCTCGGTAGTTTCAGTTGTATGAGTTTGTGCTTTTGGACTTCTACGTCTAGTGGTGTTGTAACGACCCGGCTGGTCGTTTCGAGAGTTATTACCCTGTTTTCCCCATTCCTACTTCTTTTTGTGTTATTCAGCTATATTATGTTATATCGGGTTAGTTGGTTCGAGTCCGAAAGGAACTCGGAGTGAAATGAGACACTTAGTCTCATAATTGAAAATTTTAAGTTAGAAAAGTGGACCGGATATGGACCTATATGTAAACNAAAAGTGGACCGGATATGGACTTATATATAAACGACCTCAGATTTGAATTTTGATGATTTCAATAGCTCCGTATGGTGATTTTGGGCTTAGGATCGTGTCCGAAATATTATTTGGGAGTCCGTAGAGGAATTAGGCTTGAAATGCCGAAAGTTTTATTTTTGAGAAGTTTGACCGGGGGGTTGACTTTTTGATATCGGGGTCGGAATCCGATTCTGAAAATTGGAATACCTCTATTATGTCATTTAGGACTTGTGTGCAAAATTTGAGGTCAATCGGACGTGAGTTTATAGGTTCTGGAGTTGTTTGTAGAAATTAGAAATTTCAACGTTCATTAGACTTGAATTAGGGTGTAATTCATGGTTTTAGCGTTGTTTGAGGTGATTTGAGGACTCGACTAAGTTCGTATGATGTTTTAGGACTTGTTGGTATATTTGGTTGAGGTACCGAGGGCCTCGGGTGAGTTTCGGATGGTTAACGGATAAAACATTGAACTAGAACAGCTCCTGCAATTTCCTTCTGTTGGAAATTGCTTCTGCCCAGAAATCGAAGCCCAAATCGAGCTCAGGGTCGAGGGCCACGATCGAAGCCCAGATCGAGCTCAGGGTCGAAGGCCACGATCAAAGCCCAGATCGAGCTCAGGGTCGAGAGCCACGATCGAAGCCCAAATCGAGCTCAGGGTCGAGGGCCACGATCGAAGCCATGATCGAGCCCAG